TAAGAGTATATGTACTCCACATATATAATCATATATTTTTATACCATAATTTAAAGACTGCCACTTCACAAAGCTATGATGATATATATCAAAAACTACTGTCATTCACATAGTACACATGGGCAGGAAAGATTTTTGAAAAAAAAAAAAAAGACTTTTCATGTAAAAAAATATGAAATCCGGTGATTTATGGTAGTAGTAGGGCAGTGTATAAATACCCCCGGATACTTTACCAAAAATGGATGAGAAGGGACTAGTATAAGACCCAGTACTAATCAGGGGGGGGAAATAAATTTTACACTAATAGGTTCCGCTCAAGACTTCAGCACCGATGAAGATAATGTAACTATTCCCATTGATGAGACAGAGTTAGAGTATATAGTCAACTGGAACTGGAAAATCAGCAGAAGTCACAGTTAATAACTGGCCTCACCAATCACGCAAGAGGCAACTAGAAGTCGTTCAAATGCGATTACGATTCGTGGTTTGTATGAAGCGCAGTGCAAAGCAATGAACAGTGAGATTTACGATATTGTAATCAGTTGAACTTTTAACAAGCTACTCATTAGAGAGACATGTATAAAGTTTATTGAAACTCTCTAGCTCCGGAGATATGTAACAGCTCTTAGATGATTATGCGGGAATCTTATCGAACAATGGAATTCGTTGTATTGCGGTCAGGTGTCCAAGCGCAATTTTCTATTATTTATTTAGTAAGATAGGATGTCACTTCCAGAATTATGTGCTAATATCTTGTAATGGTCCATCTTGTAAGTATCGACTCAGCTCGCTGATCAATTAGTAAAACATATGAAAAATCTTTTCTTTCAAAAATCTCTCTTGTACGTTTTTATTATGTAAATCACAATGATTTAGAAGCCAATTGATTGCATTTTTCGAAAAAATAGTGATATGTTCAGTTCCGACATACCAATTAGCTTCTAAATCATTGTGATTTACATACAGGAGAGTTTTTGAAAGAAAGATTTTTCGATACTTTTTGCCGGTGAGTGTACTCGATTATATTTAACCTCACTTCATAATCCGAATAGCTATGATAATGCTAAATAAAACCCACTGAATATAGATGAATATAGATAGTATCGCCGACTTGTAGTTTAATAAGTTCGATAAGGAAAGTCAAATTATCGGCAGTCGACTGTGCCACATATCTCTGCGTCTTTTAAAGCCCAACTTACCTTCCTTATATTATATTCTACTAGCCTTAGTCCGTAGAGCACTTTTGATTGGTTGCGCGTGAAGTGAAACTCACTGGTTAATCGTAGTCTGTCTCATTGAATAAGAACGTGCCAGTAACTTATCGGAAGCGGCCTGATTTTGTGCGTAAAATACCCGGGTATTATAAACATAAAACTATTCATTTGTAATATACCGAATGTGCTAGAAAATATGTGAATTATTAGAAGTTCAAATACTGTATTGGTATCCTCTTCAATATCATTAATTGGTCACGTCAAGGATATCTTAATGTAACGCAATTACTATGGTGGGGATTCGAAAAGAGCGTGCAGTTTTCTTTCGGACGCTATAGTGCATGTTTACAATCAACCAACCGGCACTGTAATAAAACCAGAGACATACTTGTCGAAGACACACCAATTCAAATAAAACCCTCGTGATTTCAGAGCATTTTATTAGTACATGTCATGACTGTTCACCTAGCCCAGGCAGGGCAAGTCATTAAATTATTTTATATATATATACTCGGGGGTGCTACTTACGCCGATGATTTATAACAAGTCTACTGGTCGTTTTAAATTTGGGTGATTAACTAACTGTTTTTGCGAACGCACCATTTTTTATAAGGCAGTCGTCATATTCTAGTCATAGAAATTAGTTTTAAGATTACAATTGCATAATATCTTCCTTACGAGGGAAACCCCATAATATCTGTTGGTGCCATATTTATTGTGGAACACTGATTACCCTGATAGAATGAATTCAAGATCAGTATATTTTTATTATTTCAAATGATTGAGTTTGTGTAACTTTACTATGAGAAATCACTCTCGTGTCTCTTATAACGCATATACGTATACATATTTAATCATATCCATATTTTTCATTCCAGGCTTTATAAACCAAGCTCTTTAATCGGATTTACTTACTTTTATAATCTAAGTGTAGTTTTTTAATATAGCGAATTCAGTCTCACAATGGACGACAATACAGTCATCCCTCGTTTATGGGACGGAGACTTTTTGGGGATGTATCTAAAGTGGGATATAACTGAGTATGGGCATTTTTAGTTTAGTAGTACATTGGTTAATATACTCTTTTGGCGCTTTAACTCATCTAAACGATGCATATATCTCATATCGTTTTCAGTCGTAAATTTCCTTTGTTCTAGGCTAGCTGCCTCTTCGACTTGTGTCTGCTGCGACACACTTCTTCAGCCACCAGAAGTTCTACTAACCAAAAAGAGGTAGACTGACTATATATAACACAATTGACATATATCGATATAGTAAGGTAAATTTACCGAGGGGATATAACTGAAGTATATTTCTATATGATATGGGAAATTGGGCTCTGTGAAAATTTGGGGATAGGGATATATCGATTGGGATACAAGTGAGGGAAATTTATACTGAGATATATAATAGAGGAAATCGGACCAGCCCCAAAGCTGGGATATATATATCCGAGGGATGACTGTAGTTTGCTTGCACTATAAAAGAGCTTTCACTTAAGTTGTCGGGTCGGACCAAAAATTGGGACCTGAAAAACTGCTCGAGTTATTTCATCTCGCTCTTTCACCTTAATAGTAGGGGTATCATATGCATATACTTAACAACTGTGTACAAGGAAAATGACGCCTACGTTATAAGGCGTAGATACAATACTTTATTCACGCATATAATAGTTTACAATGTACACTCTTGGCAACCTAATTAACATTCATTTCCAAATCTTGATTATAGACAAGAAACGAAAAGATTATCTTGCGCTTGTAAATGTACATCTATTTCAGACTAATGACAATACGTATTTATAACTCGATGTGATTGTCCTTAATTATTTTGTGCCAGGCAATCGCTGTTGACATTCACGAAAGCAGTAGTACCGACTCCGCACCGTGAAAGTTCTTTGACTGTGACGGATGTCTGGCGAAAAATCCTCTCCAATTGGGGTATCGCGGGTTTACCTTGAGACGCTAAAGAAGAATTTATATACATGGACTTAGCAAATACAAGCGAGAATTGATATACATTCTACCATTCACATACTTACCGAGAATCGCACTATTTAGCGCATTTGCTACTGGTTCCCTCCCCGATGGGTGTAGCAAATAACCAACGACACTGTTCGCTGGGTCAGAATATGCCAGCAATGAGAAAGCTTCCTGTAAAGAAGAGCACGGTGTATAAGGTAATCATGCTGTAATAGTTTAAATTTCAAACAACGAGGATATCCAACCTCTAAAGCACTCTTTATCTCTTCACGAGTATCATCTTGATAGTCTTGCTGCAATTTTTGACCAAATTTCATTGCTGTCTCGATTTGACTGTCTAAAGTATCTACATTATAATTAATCTTTTTTCGTTTTATCGAATTTTTTTTCCTTTTTATAGGGGCTAGACGAGCATCTTCGTCCTCACTATATGATGCAGAATCACTGTGTGAGACTGTGAAGTCGTCTACATCCATGGCATCTTCATATTCCTCGTCTTCATCATCATCTTTGTCGCCACTATCAGTTTCTTGTCCCGTTACGCCATCTCCAAGTGCCATCTGAGAGCGTACTATCATGTCGTGATGTTTTTCTACTTTAACCAAATCATCGTCCTCATCTTCAGCGGCTACTGCGCGAGCTCCTGAACAGCGGCCCATCATTTCTATAAATTCGCGACAGCGTAGTCGGAAATGAATATCATCATTTGCTGGCAAGACCGATGGGAACAAAGCGTTTGTTAACTTTATTGCTTGATCTATATCTCCCCTGAGGACGGCATTTCGAATGCCTAGAAAAGTAGGCGACAAGCTTTAGTGCGCTTGCTTCTTCAATAAGGTTATAGATGAAGTTATCAATAAGACTTCTTACGCTGTCTATTTAACATATCAATTTCTGTTCCTGGGGCTGATTGTTCATATTCAATGTCCTCCATTAAATCACTGTCAATATTGAGAAAGTGAACAGCATCTTTGTAGAAGGCTTTTGCCGTCTCACTGAAACCATGATGCACCAGATAGGAAAATATGAGTTGATGAACTGTTGTGGTAAGGTTAGCTTCTGAAGATGCTCGCAATACGGGTGCCGACATTACGGGTGATGAAATAGGAGGCATCGGCGTCGTGTTAATAATTTGCCATTGTAGGGCCTTTTGCTCCTTTACAGTAATAATACCTATCAGAACAAATGCGCTCTGAACGGAAATACAAACAATGTTTGAACCAACCTTCATGTAATGGTCAATTGCGAATTTAAATTCTTTCTGTCCAAAATTTACTTCTACAGATTCGTTAGGAGTCCGTAAGCCAATTGACGGATATAATCCACCCTTTAAATCTCTGAATGCAGTTCCTTAAAACAAGTGGATGAAATAAGTAATATATAAGACGATCTTAATGAAACTGCAAAAAGAATGATCAAGCAACACACCCAGAATGGCACCATTCTTTGTATAAAATGCCGTCCCGTCTCTGAAGTTTACACAGCAGCCGATAACGTCACCAGTTGTAAACTGTGGTCCGTACGGCTTTCCTGTTCCTGAACAACAAAACAGATGTCCATCGTCGCCGTGGTATCCCCACGACATATTTTCCCAACCTATCCTCACGAAAGTACAAGGTTGATAAGCTATCGGAATGACAACGTATCTATCTAAGTATAATTCACAGAAATACCTGGCAATCGGTTTAGTTGAACGTTTTTCCCGCAAAAACCAATCCCAATGAAACTATCACAAGTGAAGAGACATGTTAATCCAACAGAATAGAGTTGCTTCGAATAAACCTATGGTTTAGCACAATGTTACTTACCCCTCCCTCCCCTTACTTATGATATCAACCTCAAAGTAGAACAAACCACATTGCGGTGGCATTGGAAAATTTGCTCGTATTGCGGCAGCATCGGAATCATTTTTTCCTGAACCTATATACGAACGACAGCCATATTAATTAAATCATTACGCGGTTTTTATCCAAACATCACAATATTGAATGTATTGACAGTTTAATCATTTGGCTTGGTGGTATTACAACCCTTCTAATCTGAAAAAGCGAGATTTTAAACGGAGTCAACTACAGTTGACATTCCGTCCAAAAAGTTGGATCACCCCCAAGGTGTGAAATTGAGAACTTCGAGAGTCTCTTATCACCTGTATAATTTACTCTTAGCCTGTCTTCGGATAATTCTAAATTAGGAGACCTATCGTCTATGTTCCACGCGGTCGGCAGGGCAAAGGACGCCTGATCGGAGTCAGAAACACTACCGTTCCTTGTATAAGATTCCGAACTAGAAGCTATGTAAAGATCTGCAAAGGTGGTGTCAATTAAATAACTCGGTAGCCGAGGGCCTTGTAATTTTGAGTATTTATTTTTATTTGATAAGTTAGATTGTAAGTTGGAAGAATTGTGACTGTTGGAATGGTAAGACTTTGTGGAGGGACCATTTGATTGAGAAACGGAAGAAATAGATAGGGGATAGTAAGAGAATATCCGAGATGTAGTTGAGAGACCAGACATAGAGGGAAGGTGAGTGCTATCCATGAGAACTACTTGTGATCGGGGGTGATTGTAAGCTCTTTTAGTACAAGGGATGTCAGAGCTGATTATTACGTCCAGTCACTGTGACGTCAGATAATAAATTATGTAATTAATACTCAAAAAAAAAGTTTCTATCTGCTCATAAAGAAGTCTTACTCGAAAAGTATCCAAGTTATAAACTCATCAGTGACGTCGGGTTAGGAATCAACTTCAAACGCAAAGGACTGCAGAACGATCTTGCAAAGATCTAGTCAGAGTTACCACCGTGGTCGATTATGCAGGTACTCCTCAGGTCGTGTTCCCGCTCAACTCTACGAAACTCATGGTTCTCTTCGACGATTCGACGACCATGAACATGAGCTGTCCTTGCCATCTTCATCTGCAGATTGCAAGGAAGAAGAGAAAGTATTACTACATCCGCGATCGTTCTCAGGAATTGTATCATTGGAAAGTTTATATCTCCTCGTTTTTATCTACACGTACAATTAAAAACCGCCTACTCTGCAGATAGTCAATGATCGTATTATATATCAACTCTCGTTAATCCCACCCATCGCTCAGCAAGCGTTTCTGCGGAAGATTCGGGTCACATTTTCGTCTTCTCACTGTTAATGTAAATGGAGCGCGGGGGATATTACTTCGCGCGTTGCTTGATGGAGCCGTATGCATGCATATGTAATAATGCTTAACAAAGACGAGCATAGATTATTAATGATGTATCACAATCCATCCGGAAGATTGATACTATTCTTTATTTACAGGAGATAATAGTCTACGAATTTATTTCTTCATTAATTATGTTCAAAGATGTATCCTATGGGCAGTTTAAAACGACGTATTGTTCCTTGATGACTTGTGGTCAGCAAGCTTAGCCTAGAATAATACATAATTAGTTAATGTAAAGCAAACTCAGCAAAATTCGACACCCATATACATTCATACCGCAAAAAACGCACGAATATCGTGTTCCGTGACTGTTCTACCGGAGTCAGCAAACGTCTTCAAGAATTCTCGTATTTCATCTCTATGGAAGATGACGTATCCTACCATTAACAACGTCATAACAAAGATGAACGCTTTACTGCTAGAAGTAAAGAGGATTCAACTAACCTCATTTTGTTATACGCGATTAAACCTGTAGCGAAAGATACGACACGTTAATCGATGCAATTGCACTCTTATAAACAAAAATCATACACCAACCTTCTATGGCTGTAACTCTGTCCATTTGTGTCAACAGTTTCACACCATTTTCAAACAAAGAAGAGTCTAGAATAAAATTTGGTGAATCAAAAGACAATCAGCTAAAAGTCAGGACTAGCGAATAACTTACCTTTATCCTCATCCCTCGGTGGTTCATATGTTTCTTCCTCTTCCAATAGAAATTCCAACTTATGTCGTTTGTAAAGCTCTTTGCACTAAGTATGCAAGAATTAATCCCGAAGAACTAATCGAAACTTACATTGTTTTATATATCAAATGAAACACACCTTAGCGCATCGACATAAGTCGTCACGCCATCCTGAGACACAGAATAAATCAAGATAATTTTCATCAACATTATTTGAAGCAAACTTTTCTAGCCGACAAGTAGGTCCCGACAAAGATTTTGGCTTCTTTAGTGGTGTAGACTTTTGGTCATCCACAATTTTCCTCTTGCTAGATTCTGCAAGTTGTGATCGATTATTATCTGAGTCTGTTGTGATTCTCGATTCATCAGAGGGTATGGAATCAGCCTTAGAATCGATACTGCGATCGCCCAAATTTGATTGTGAAGACACTTTCTTTGACGTCCGAGCAAAACATAAATGAGAATCACAGTACAATTTAAGGAAGGGATGTCTTTCTGTACAACTTCGACAAACGTACTCTTCGAACAGCTCGCACTCAGGAAGCTGTAATTACGTTAATCATGTTTGAAATTGAGTATTTACGTCAGACATATCTATATAAGATAATATTATTCATACCGTAAATTCCTGATCTCCTTGTTTTCCGCCGTTCATACAGTTTTCATGATACCAATCCTCGCACAGACAGCACTTAAAATACCGTGAATTCTCGACGATCTTGACTCATCGAAAATCACAGCATCATCTCATACCTGATACATATTCGACTCTTCCTTTTCCGGATCATATTCTACATCGCACCTTGAAAAGACATAATTTCACAATGTAAGTTGCAAGCTTTTGTTTAATCCACATTTCTTCATAAGCTCACGAGAGAAATACTAACCAACAAAAACGGCCTTCGTAGTTGTGGTTATACTGATTCAATGCATTTGCAACATCTCTTTCCGTCGGCTCGAGTTCACAAGGCTTTCCACCAAGTCGAGCCGTTCCACAATCGCAGCGAAAGCTCCTTTTGTTAAACAGTTCGACCAAGACGTGATCTAGAAATTAAGAATAGAATAAGCGAAGCAATTATACAGCCACTAACAGCCAAATATTTAGAAAAATACCAGTGTGGCAAGAAATTGAACACGAGTAACAGACACCACCAGGGCCATATCCTGTCTTCGGTTTGCAAGTCTTACAGGCATATACTGGTTGGCGCAAGTAACCTCTAGAGTACGTGCAATGATCGAAGTTCCACGGTAGCACTTCTGCAGCCTCCCTTTCGAGTTTTCTTTGCTGTTCAAGAAACTCTTCGGCCGTGATTGTGTCTTTCGCGTCTTTTGAAGCCATTATTGAGTGTCCACTATTACGAAGACTATATTTGATTGCGTGCGAGCAGTCACATGATTGACACCGAATTATGTTAACCTTTATCAGTATACACTTTTCAACGGCAGGAGACGCGAATATTTCAAAACTTTGAGATCCAGTAATTTTATTCTTCCTTATTCTTACAATATAAAGAAAAAAGAATGGAAAACTATTACGAGTTTTTTGTTTTTGAAACATGTAAATAAGCTTGTCCTAAACTGTAAATAAATGCAGGTTGAGAATTACTTTGCTAATAAAAACTATATTAATGTGATCATTTCACACATTCTAGGACTGACATCACAATATCAATTATCTATTATAACCTACTGAATAAAAAGGAATAATTGAGTTAGTGCTCATCCCAAGAAGGTCACCCTGGACAAATAACATCACAAAGATGTCTCTTATGACAATCTGGCAAGGATTCTATGCTTCCTGCATAAAGAAGCTGTGTTAAAAGGAGAACAATAATAGCAGCAGGGAGGGTGACTTAGTAAATAGACCGTGGACCCAAAGGAGATAGGTGACGAATAATGTAGTCAAGACCCCCTGCTACTCAAAATGATTTTGCCGTTCTAAGCTTGCCCGATTGTATTCTAATATTAATATAAATCCTTATATATAATTTAAGATTAAAATCGAGCTGGACTTGAACCCTGTTAACTAACTCTTCTTGGTATAAAATTTTGACTTCGGAAGCTAATGTTCTAGCCTGAATTAAATAATACACAATGAAGTCCGCTTTTAACGAAGGTCCGTTTTAACGAAGATGGCCTTATAACGAAGCTTTTTCAGGAACCGATTTATTCATATATCGATATGCTTAGCTCCCAGTTTAACGAAGATTTATAATTAAAATCTGTATAACGATATAGCGAAGAAATTGGATCTTTATTGACAACTACAGAAACTGCTAAAGCTGTTTTTAGACAGCTAGTACATGAGGAAGCATATGCTAACTACATTACTAACTGAATCAATA